ATCATCTTTATCCATCAGCCTGGCTGCATTTTCCTCAGCTTTCTGGTTGGTCTCTGTGGTATCGCTTCTTCCGAGAAGTTCTCCCAAATAAGTAGAAGGGAGAGCCATGGATTGGGGCTTAGGCGAGGTCTGGAAGGAGCTCGAAGCCCCTCTGGCTAGGGCTCAGATCCTCCTATACTCCAGGTCCGGTGTCTGGGCCTCACTTACTCTCTGCCTGGGCCCCCCACCGCCATCTGAAGTCCTGTCTGCATCTCATCAGTCTCCATCCCAAGATGGGTCTGTGGCTGCTCCCTGGCTCCGAGCAGAACCCGCCTCTGTGCCCCCCATCACCCCGACGTCCCTTGCCCGGATACAGCCGCCGCTGTGCCTTCATCCCACACACACATGCAGTATCCGAGCAAAAGAAGCCAGGAGCAAGAAAAGCACACACGGAATAATTTCATTGATACGAAGTTCACGAACGGGCACAACCAGTCCGTGGTGACAGAGGTCAGGGTCACGGCTGCCCCTGGGAGTGGGCATTGACTGAAGGGGGCCTGAGGGAACTCCGAGTGATGGAAATACTACATGGGTGTTCACGTGTGTCAAAACTCGACCTGTACGCTTACACGACCTGTGCACTTCACTGCATGTAAAGTTTGCCTCCATTTCTAAAAATGTTTCATGGAACACCTGCAACGTGCCAGACCCTGTGCCAGCAGGGGAGACACACTTGCCTGCCCTGTGGAGCTCATATGACAGGGCGTGTGGCTCTTACCCTGACGTTGCCTTGGCCACTGCTCTCTGCCTGGGAGTGGGGGTGGGTCAAAGGGCACGGTGCTGCCCAGAGGTCTGTCCCTTCAGAGAGTTACATGGTCACACGTAGGACGGGGGAGCAAGTGCGTAATCCCTCCGGGCCGCTTTCCTCGTCTTCCATGTGCGATTAAAGCCTTCCTTGTAGTTCTGGCACCAGGCAGAGGCTCCGCTGGGAGAACATCCATCGCCTGAGGTGCAGTTATCACCGTTCCCACTTTATGGGCCTGGGACATGGTTCAGAGCGCCGGCTGGAGAGCCACGCAGCCTGGTTTCAAATCCCAGCCACTCACCAGCCAGGGGGCGGCCTCGGGCAGTCACTCAGCTCGTTAAACCTCTCAGAGCCTCATTTCCTTCCCCTGTAAAGTTGGGGTAACGGAGGCACCTACCCCGCAGGCAGGTCGCAAGAACGCCGTGCAGTGCTCTGCACAGCGCAGGGCGCGGGCCGGCTGGCGATCCATGGAAGCGAATCTTTCTGCCTGGAGCTTTGGCAGGAGGGCTCCGAAAGGGGGGGGGGCTCGGCCGGGCTGCTGGCGGGAGCATGCGCAACAGGAAGAGTCGCGGAATGAAAGCGGTCCTCGCTGGTGGCGTTCAAAGGCGCCTACGGGTCCCAGTCCCCTGTCCGCCGCAGCGACACAGGCTTTGAGCGCAGCGGGAGGGCCGCGGCGGGGCGCGCGAGAGCAGACGAGGAGCCCGCTGCGCGGCGAGGCTGTCGGGAGCGGGAGGAGGCGCAGCCAGGCTCGCGTCCCCGAAAGCCCTCCGGTGTGACCCGCCCTGAACCGGGCCAGTCGGTCACACTGTTCCGAGTGGCTCTCCTGAAGTGACCCTAGCTAGGGGAGACTAGCTGCGTGCCGCTAGACGTAAGGGGCCGGCAGTGACCGCAGCCCTCCGTCCCGCTTGGAGAACCACCTGCCCAGAGTCCTGGTTCGCGCGCCGGCGTCTCGTCGGCCTGCGGTCCCTTCTTGGACTTGCGGGTCTGGGCGCAAACGACCGCAAACCAAACCGCTGGCTGCGAGCGGAGGTGCGGTGGACAGCGCCGGACGTCGGGGCTGCGCTGGCATAGCTCCAGGCCTGCGAGGCGCGGACTTGGGTTCCCTTGGCCGGCGCGGGCGCCTGGGCGGGTGAGACCGGACGGCGGCGGGCGGGCCCCGGAGCCCAGACCCCCCGCACCCGTAGCACCTTGGCCCCGCCCCGGCCCGCCTCCCTCCACCTCATTGGCAGCCGCGTCGGGGGTTGCCAGGGCGACGGGTCGCTTAGC